AAGCAGTCACTAGGAGCAGTTGCAGCCATAACATACTCGCCAGCTTCTGAGAGGGCATGGCCTTTTTTTTTTCCCCCTTTTTTTGTTGAAACAATGCTCCATCTATTGGTGGGGAGCTTCACCTGCTGGAAACCGGGTCCAGCGTCCCTGTCCAGCGTCCCTGTACATCAAGATTAGTCACAAAATCACACGAGAGCATTCCGCCCGCATTGATTGCCCGAAGTTACCCTGGGGGATTGACTGAGCGGTTGGGAAAGCTTGGAGACAGAATGGCCTCTTCTACCCTTTAAACAGGGCGCCTCTTCTAGCTTGGTATGTCTAGCACTTTCCATCTCCATGAGCGTGAGAACAATGTAATTTTGTAAAGAAGATGAGCAATGCATAAGGCCTTTTGCTGGTAGCTGCTGTCTGTTTCTTCCGTCTCGTCCTAGCCAAACTCCTGCGCTTCATGTGCTCCCATAAACGCCATTGAAGCTGTTCCCCCCAGGGAGGCACTGGGGTTGATGGATGGTCGGTCTTGTCTTGCAGCAGCAGCTGTGATCACATCTGAACTTCTGCCAGGGAAAGGGGGTGAGGTGGGAAAGGGTCAGGGAAATCTGATGGGGATCTCATTGGGAAGGAGGGTTCAACAGTGGTCCAGTCATTGAATATTAAATGGTGGTCCCTGGGTGGGCCCTGTCTCGCTGAGTCAGCCTGGTCACCCCCCCATTCAACCCGAGCTATCCACCCCTCCCGTTGGCCCCCTAGCCAGTCCATGCAGAATGTTGTAATTGCCTGCTTAATGTCCTGTTCAGTCTGAAAGATGTCGAGTCGTAATTTGAGGGTTTGCCATCTGCGTAATAATTCCAGCTGGACTAGCTCTTTGATTTGCTCTATTAGCTCAGACCCCTCTATTTTCACTGCTTCCAGCGCCAGGAGGCCGTGTTGCCACCAAAGGGCCCAGAGAACTGACCGCCTTCCTAGACTGTACAGGTTGTTTGTGAAGTTAGGGGAGACCCCCATTGCTGGACAATGTCCTGTTAGTATGGACTGCCAGGACCATGGCCAGTGAGTGTTTGGCACTATTTTGCGCCATATGCGGTCCCACCATCACCACGTAAATAACGCCACCGGGCATTGCATAAAAATGTGTTCTATAGTCTCCTCCCGCTTGCGTGATGGAAAGGCGCTTATACACCTTTGGCACCACGGGAGTGCCAAGCATTTGTCAAAAGGCAGCGATGCACGATCTGCCATTGTAAGGACGTGACCTTGGTCGGTCGAGCGTTACCCTCTTGGAACCATCGGATGGGTGTAAGGAGAGCCCGGTCAACATTAAGGTGTCTGGCCCACCTGTCAATGATCCGGTCGCGTTGGGGTCTTTTGGGTCAGAGCATCCTGTACATGGATTTGACCGATAGATTATGAAGCTGGACTGTTTTTTTAGGTACGGCGGTTAGGCCTCTGGCTGTCTGCCATTGCCATTCATCGGGGTCAATGGGCAGATCCTGGATGGGTGTCCGGGGCTGGAAGGGGATGGCCTCGTCCCCTTCTCCTATCACCCTTATTCTGAACAACCCAGCTTCAGGATACCCTCCGGTACTGCCACCACACAGACAGTCACCTGGAAATGATCATTGAGGCGATCCCGCTGGCATGGTACAGGCTGCTGAAGAGAGGGCCCACACTACAGGAAGGAGACTGGGTCACCCTGCCAGGGGACCCGAATCGGATTGGCAGAATCCACATGACACGCCCCTCGAACGTACTGGTAGAACACTTTAAGATAGGCCCAAGGGGCACACTCCAAGGATCCTGCGACCCTTTTTGAATGGCGGAAAAAAACTGAGAGAGCATGGCCTTAAAGTGTTTGCACAGTGAAATAGCTTCACGGGTTGCCAGAGGCAACAGGTCTTGCTCCCTCCTCCTTTTTTCCACCTTCAGAACAGGGGTTTTGGAAACCTTCAATCTAAGGCTTGCCGTACCTTTCTTCGAGGTATATTCATCTAACGAGATCGACTTTTTTTCCTTTCCACTCCTACTGGTGACCACTGTAATAACTCCAGCCCCGCTGGTAAGGTCACTCTGTAAATCAACTCCCCCCTGCTGGTGCCCTCTGTGCAGTAACTCTGACCACAATTTCTGAGTAATGTTCTAACTACCTCACTCGCACAGTGTCTCCTTGAGTAAGTTCCTTACTCAATTCAAAGTCTACTGGCTTCTTCCATTCCACCGCCGCATAGCCTTCTGAACCCAGAACATCTGCAACCTGAAGTATCGAGTTGTCCTCCTCTCTCCTTCTGCACCAAAGGCCACCTGCGGGAATAGTGCTACTTCCTGCCAGTGTGATCACCCACCACTGAGGGATGGCCTGTTGGATCTGTCACAGTCTCTCAGAAATTTTCCTCAGCCTTCCTGGTCTGCTGCTAAATTCTTCCATCGGCTTCCATGTCTGTGTGCGGTCATCCCATATATCCCGAACCCATCCACCCAGGATTTGACAAAATTGCCTGGGCTGTCATTGCCTGAAAATTCCTGCATCTTGCTATCTACTATCAACGGATTTTCCAAAAAGCACTTGATTCAAAATAGCAGCTTTTGACAAAGGTTGCTCACGGTTGGACGAGAAGACCTGTTGTCATGCCTTCAGGATATTTCTCCAAAACGTGGACTTCAGGTGCTTGTTGACATATGATTTGATCATGCGGCACGCTTCAAGATATTACTTCTTTTTTTTTGTTTTTCATTTGATTTGCTGACAAAATATCCCCCTTCTCATGGCCCTTTGAGAGGCTGGGGCAGGTAGAACGTGCTCACACCATCACTTTTCTGAGTCATCCTGGGATGCAATTGCAGTCAGATACATCCAGCATAAGAAGAAAACGAACGTGGGGAGGAACCTATCTTTTTTTTTGTCTCTTTGCGACGCGCCTGCAGGGGGCACGTGCAGAGATGGTGAGGGAGAGAGAGAGAGAGAGAGAGAGAGAGAGAGAGAGAGAGAGAGAGAGAGAGAGAGAGAGAGAGAGGAGATGGACACACACGAGAAGCAGCAGTTGAGTGTCGTGGTCCGACTGAATGAAAGAATGAACGACCAACGAAAAGAGAATCGAACCACCTACCTGGGCCTAGGCCGAAGTGATATACCGGCCTAGGTCCAGGTACTGGGAAAACCAATGGTGCCGGACCAGAATCAGGCCGACGGCCTGAAACTGGACCGACCTAGCTGTCGGGCCTCAAGGGGACAGCTACACGATCCTCGGATCTGTGAATGGATCAACTGATACATCAAACGCTATCCGCTGAAATAGCGGAAACCCAAAAGGCCCGGCAAAGAAAACACCTAAATGCGGAGCAAGCTCCATGCAGGAAAAGAGATGCAATGCAGACTAAGCCTCAAGCCTAATCTATGCAACAATGCCTGGTCTGAGTCGACCTTGAAAGCAGGAAAATGTCTGACCTGCGTCGGTCAAGAAAGAGAAAAAAATGTCTCTTGAGCCAATGTGGCTGAACATAAACCAACGTCAAGGCCCTAAAGGCCGAAGAATAAATAAACCAATGTTCTAAGTTGACAAAGAATGTGGCACAGTCTCATGTGCCCTGTACACAATGCACAATACCTGAATAAGAGGAAAGGGAACTCGGTCACATGGGAAAGGTAGAGATGGGTGGGAGGGCGGCGGGTACAGCTCTCAGAGTAAACTCCAAGGGGGTACCCATACAACCAGGTAAACATCATCAGGCTCAGAGGGAGAGTAACAGCACGACACCGGGCTCAATGGAAACCATCAAACGGGTACCGCCAGCTGAAAGGGRAAGGGCACTCACACAAGGGAGCACACATAAGGTGAGCCTGGAAGGAGAGAGGGCTATGCCGGCATAGACATGTGGCCAAAAGTCGCGAGCAAAGAAACGAACACTCCAGAGGAGGGCGCGCAGCATAGGGTAAGGTAGAAGGGCGGCATGCGATCACACCTACATGAGTAGGGAAAATAGGGGTCATCATGCGACTACAAAGTAAGCTCGAAGGTCAGGGATGGGTGGGAATCAGGGAAACTCTGCGGCGGAGGGGAAATGAAGTAGTCCAACTAATGAAGCTCGAAGCTGAAGTCGGGTCGAAGTAGTTGGGCTGAAGTAGGAGTAACACGGAAGCCGAGTAGAAGTCCGGAACGCAGCGACAGGTGCTCTGCTGCTGGAGAGGCGCACTGAAGTCAAAGGCTGAATGTAGATACCCGAGCTGGGAGTTGTTGCATAAGTGTCCAAGAATAGGAGATAAAGGAGAGGTAAAGGTCAGTCACGATAGCAGGAAGGAAGTCATTGGGCACACCGAGGGCGAGACGGCTCCATTGCAACAACAGGCGGAACCACATCCGCGGGTAAGAAAGGACCCGAGGTAGGTACCGGTGGTGCAGGAAGGCCCATCGATGTAGGATGGGGATGCCAATGGTCGTTGAAGTAGATGGGTCAGTGCAAAGACGAGAAGTAGGAGGGGAGGACAATAGAGGGAAAGGTTGAGCACGATGGTAAGCACGCACGAAAGTCATGGCATGCTTCAGGTGCTCGAAAGGCTCCCAAGTAGACTCCTTGTCAGGATAACCCTTCCAGCAAACGAGATACTCGAGGCGGGGAGGATCATCGTCAGTCATGCGTCGGGACACAATATCAGAGACGACAAACTCCTCGAGACCCTCAATGATGATGGGAGAAGGGCGAGGGTAAGGTCGACCGTGGAACTTAGGAGGTGACTGTCTGAAGGGGCACAAAAGAGATACATGGAACACGTCATGTAAGTTAGCGCAGGACATCGAATCGGGGAGCTTCAATTTGAAGCTCACCGGACAATTGTGATTGGGTCCGACGGGTGCAAGAATGGTGCATGGTCCGATGTATCGACGTCTAAATTTCCAAGTGTGTCAGCTTCGGGCTGGAAGTGATGTGCGTCAACCAGAACACGTCGACCAGAACCTCGTCGCCAACTTTGAAGGGATAGTCAATGCGAGAACGGTTGGCGCAGGTCGCCATACGAGCCTGGGAACTAGCAATGCTCTCACGACTCTTGCTAAGAAGCACATCCATCTCCTTGACCCAATCGTCGAGAGCAGGGCATATGGTGTCGGGATAAATTTGAGATGGACGAAGAAGATCAGATGGGACACAAGGTCGATATCCCAAGTCACAATAGTAGGGAGACATGCCAGTGGCAGGTGAAATAACATGGTTATAAGCGATCTCTGCCTGAGCAAGGTGAAGATACCAATCAGAGTCATTCTCAACAAACTTCTTGAGGACGCTCCCAAGAGTTTTGTTGGTGACCTCAGTTTGTTCATCTGACTGGGGATGATAGGAGGAGAGGCGGAGCTCTGAGCCATAGATCTCATGCAGTCCACGCCAGAAGTGAGAAGTAAAGCGGGTATCACGATCAGAGACGATGCTAGTGGGACAACCGTGATGAATGGCAATAGGATTGAAGTATAGGGAGGCGGTGTCTTTGGCTGAACTAGCATTACTTGCAAGGGAGAAAGTGAGCATGCTTAGTCAGCCGATAAACAACGACGAAGATGGCGTCGTGGTCTCGTGGGGTAGGGGGACGAAGAGGACCCATGAAGTCCATGGAGACAGAAGTCCAACGCTGAGTAGGAATGGGTAAGGGTTGAAGAAGACCATAGGGGGGTTGGTTGGTAATGTTGGCCTCCTGGCAGATCCTGCATGCGCAAACATACTCCTTTGTGAAGGGACGGCGGTGCTCCCAGTAGTAATGACGGTAGAGGCGGTCGAGGGTCTTGAGGACACCAAGATGACCGGCGGCGCGTTGATCAGTCAGCGACGGCCCGAACGTGGAGTTGACCGATAGAGGGAACACATAAGTGGGGAGTACAGGTACCTTGGCGACCAAGCCACTATAGGAGTCTGGAGGGATCGAGCTGGAAGTTAGGCACAGTCTTGCCCACCTATTACTCAGCGTAGATGGACTGGAACTTCGAACACTAAGTGTATGTGTGACGGTACTCATCCATAACGGCAGCGTGGATGCTAGGAATAGAGATGGTTGAGAGTTGGCGATCCTCACATTGAAGATTGAGGCGAAAGGATAAGGCATTAGCGACGTGATTGCTCTCACCGAAATCCTCTTGATGGTGAAGTCGAACTCAGAGAGGTCACACCGCCAACAAGCCTCGTGAGAAGTGAGCTTAGGCTTCGTTTGGAAGGCGGCGAGGACAAAGTTATCCGTCAACACGGTGAAGGTGTGACCGTGCAAATGATGATGCCACTTCCTTAGAGCGTCGACCAGCGCAAGGACCTCACGCTCGTCGGCCGTGTAGTTACGCTCGACGGGAAGTAGCTGACGAGAGAGATAGGCAACCGAACACTCTCCATCACGAGACTCAACTGTACCATCGTCAGCGATGCCAAGAATGTATGGGGGTGGCCCCCAGGGACATGTGGGCTCGATGGGGGCGAGGTGAGCCACGGTCGCTGGAGGTGGGCGAGGGAAGCGAGGAATGCGAGGGAGACGAGAGTTTGTGGAATCGGAAGAAGTAAAAAAAAAAAAAAAAAAAAGGGTTGGGTAAATCTGCGAGAGGACGACTCCAATAGCAAAATCGGATGCGTCAGTGGTAATGATGAATGGATGCGAGTAGTCAGGCAGGTGTAGGACAGGAGCCGAAGTTACGAGTCGCTTGAGAGAGCGGAAGGCGTCCTCATGCGTCGGGGTCCAATGAAAGGGTAGACGCCCCCGGGTCAAAGGAGTAAGTTGGGAAGGGTATTGCGCGTAGTTTTTTAGAAAAGGACCATAGTAGTTGGTCAAACCAAAAAAACTACGCAGGGCAGGGAGAGATGTAGGGGTAGGCCAAGCGACGATGGCCTGGATCTTTGAGTCGTCCATGTGGAGGCCGTGCTCAGATACTTGATGCGAAAGGAACTCGACTTTGGGTTGAGCAAAACTGCATTTGGAAAGCTTTGCATAAAACCCGTGGTCGCGTAGTTGTTGCAGGACTGTGCGAAGATGGGTCACGTGATCCTCTAGGGTACAACTGTAGATCAGGATGTCGTCAATGTAGACTAGAACTGAGTCTTCAATAAGGTCTTGGAACATCGTGTTTATAGCCGTCTAGAAAGTGGCGGGGGCATTACAAAGACTGAAAGGCATGATAGTAAACTCGTAGTGCCAGAAACAATAACGGAAAGCGGTCTTGGGCTAGTCATCCTCGACCACGCGGATCTGGTGATATCCGCTACGAAGATTGATCTTCGTGAAGAAATTGTCATCAGCGAGGCGATCAAACAGATCATCCGCGCGGGGCATGGGATAGTTGTTTTTTACCGTGTAGTGGTTGAGACCGCGGTAGTCGATGTAGAGACGAAGGGTGTCGTCCTTCTTGCGATCGAAGAGGACATAGGCACTCCATGGGGAAGTACTCAGTTTAATGAAACCCTGGTGAAGCAACTCCTTATGTTGGCGCTTGAGTTCCTGGGCTTCGGGAACCGAGTGGCGATATGGGGCACGATTCTGGATGTGATAGTTGGGCTCGAGCTGGATGTGGTGCTCGAGCTGGATGTGGTGCTCGAGATCGCGCATGGGAGGAATATTGTTGTGCGAGACGAATGCGAGGAAAACATCGCGGCATTCGCGAAGGAGGGCAACAACACTAGGCTGCAAGGAAGAAAGAAGGATATCAAATTCCTTGGCAGCGGCGGCATCTGAAGCAGAGGTAGAGGTAGTTTGTGTGGAGATAGGGACTGAGGGTGTATCAGTGGTAAGGGAAGCGACAAAGTGAGATGGGCTAGCAGGGGTAGAGGAGGGTAAGGAAGTTGAGGAATTAGAAGGGTCAGGGGGCTCGGGATATGGTGGATCGAGATCGACCAACTCAACATCCTTCTGCATGGAGTTACAACTAAGAAGATCCATGATGTCAATAACATAAAGTTCGACATCGGGCTGATGAAGGAAGTGGTGAAACTGGGTAGGTGTACAGATGGTGACACTAACAGGGGGTGGATGAGCTTCCCATCCTTGGCGTCAAGGACGAGATCGTTGTGGGCCCAATCGGGACCAGAGTGGGAAAACTGGTGGGAGTATGCAGTGTTGAGAACAAGATCGTATAAGGTTTCCATGACGTCGAAGGTCCACTGGTCATGGAACCAAGGGGCCTTGCGAAGGTTGTGGGGCATCCGCAAGGGGAAGGAGAACGGAATATCAGGCACCACACGGTCGACGAAGGACTTGGCCTGATTGTCACCAAGCGTAATAGTGACAGGGGTCAATACACTCTGGTAGAGATCCCGAGGTGCATTGGAATAATCGGTAAGGTGCGATCAGGATTGTGTAGGCGCTAAGACATCGCGAACAGGGTGCGCTCTTTAAGGCGGAGACATTCCTAACGGCCTTAACACACTCAAGGTCCAGGAAGTCAATGATATCCTCGATTGCAATAAGGGGAGCATTGCAGCGGGCAGAGCGAAGAGCACGCCTGGTAGGAGGACGTGGAGGAAGGGGATCACAAGAGACGCTACGCGAGGAAGGAGAAGGTATACCAGTGTCGATAGGGTTGGCGAAAGATAAGGTCTAGGCCAGAATCATCGAAAAAGAATAGCAAGCGGCGCGAAGGCAAAGTCACGAACGGGTATGCTTGCTACCGTAGGAGAGTTGGAACGAGACATTATGGCTAGGTGGGTGTTGCGCTGGAGGTCGAGACGGGGGAAACAGCCTAAGGGCGAGCCTGCTGTGTGAAGTGACGTTGGAGGGCGTCAACATACGGGCAGGTAGAGGAGGTATGGCCAGCGAGGCGGCAGCGGGTACAGATGCCTCGTGCACGGAGGTCCTCACTCTCAGCGATGGTCAAGCGGCTGCAAGGAAACACAAAATCTGTTGGGAGAGGTTTTTGAGGGGCCGATGAACGAGTCCTCGAGGACGAGGACTGACAACGAAGGAAAGCAGAGAAGGCCCGAGCAAAGAGGTCGTCCCTGATAGGGATCGCTCGCGAAACTATCTGAGGCGGTGCCGTCCTCAACGCTCGGCGAATCACGAAGTAGGGCGTGAAAGTGATGAAAGAGGGATCGTCTCGAACCTCTACGAGGGCCACGACGATATGTGGGAGACTGTCGAGGTTGGGAGGGGCGAGGAGCTGCAACAGTAGCAGAATGGCCAGTGGCGGGCTGAGGCGAGGGGCCGATGAGTGGAGCGTAAGTGAGCTCGATGGCCCGAGTGATGTTGAATGCCTCAGGTAAGGTGTGGATTGAATATGCCATCATCTGCCACTGAAATGATTGAGGGAGGCCAGCACGAAATCGTTGTATCATGGTGTCCTCCGATATGGCGGAGACCGGGATCTGAGCGCGTAGGCGGTGAAATGCCAATATGTAAGACTCTAAGGCATTGTCGCCACCAAGCCATCTGATCTCGGCCACGCGAGTGGGCATAGGGTGAGAGAAGTAATGCTGGAGAAAATCGCGAAACTCTAGATACGACATGCCCTCGTGTACGCCACGCTGTGAGCGGAGGGCGAGGAAGTCACGCCAGGTGGAAGTTGCGCGACGTATGAAGCGAGCGGACATCTCGAAGGGCCACAGTTCCATGGGGACACCAGTGTAGCGAAGCTGCTCCTCGGCGGTAGTGATCCATCCTTGGAGCTCTGAGGCCTTGCCGTCAAACTGCGGGAGTCGGTTCGGGTGGAACTCGGGGACATAAGTCGGAGGCCGACAGTGAGAAGGAAGAGGGAGGGCAGACTGGGATAAAAGGACAGAGGAAGTAGTGACACCAATGGGAGCGCTAGAAAGAGCAGGAAGCTGGGGCAAAGGCCCCTGACACATCGTGGTGGCCGGTGGGGGGAGAGCGAAGTGTATTGCAGCCGCTTGTGTCTGATGTTGTCGATAAATGAAAGGAGCGACAAGCTGGACCCCGATGTGTGGGCAAGGAGGCTGGCTTCCCTGGAGCTGGTGAATGTGACCCTGAGCCGCTGCGAGCTGCTGCTGAAGATTAGCAAGCTGTGTCATGGGTGTAGGAGGGGGTGGGGGGGGAGGGGAGGGAACAAAAGAGGATGCCAAGGGTGTCGTGGAGACGAGTGTTGAGGACGTGGCGGGACAAGATGCCATGGCTCCTGTGGAGGGAAGTGCAGGTGTAGGAGCCTGGGAGGAAGATGTAGCTGCAGAGGAAGGGTGGGCCTGAGGAGGGGACATGCTACCCGTGGTGGAGACAAATGTGTACATGACGCCAGCCGAGGTAGAAGAGGAAGAT